CATGCCTTTACCTTTTCAGGTGGCCTCTTTCATTTTGTACATTCAATAGTCTCTTAAAGTGTTCCACCGCCTGATGACAGTCATGTTAAGAAGTCCTCCTCCTTGCAAAGAATGTCTGTTTTTCTTAAGTGATTTGACATTCATCCACACACACACACACACACACACACACACACACACATACAAAGCCTAATGAAAGTGCTTCTCTATGGCCTCCAAACTCTATTCCTTGCATACCTGAGGTTTTGCTTTAAATGGCATCAAACCTTCAGTCTCCTGGTCTATCAAAAAGCAAAAGGCTTCCTTTAGCTCCCAGCCTCCTTGAGTTCCCACCCTGCAACTACCTCTGCGGTTGAAAAATGAAGCCCAAGCGATCGAATGGCCACTTGAGGCTGACTCAAAAACCGAGTCAATCCCCACAGACTCTTTATGTTGAAATACACGACTTTATAGCAGAAACAAACATGTTTACAGCCTGATACAAGAAGCAGTTTCGGCCTCTATAGCTGATTTTCCTCTTCTTGGCAACGGTACAGGCGGTGAATTATCATACAACTCACTCATGTAAATTGTATTAAGGCTTAAAATTGTGCAGGTGGGTGCCATGATAGGACAGTCAATGGTGCACATTTGCACGGCCTCCCTCAGCTCCACTCACACTTAGCTCATTTTCGGATTTGCCAGGAGTTGGAAGGAATCCGGTACTGCCAAGATGGCAACAGCTGGAGCCACAACACTGAGGTTTAAAACCCCTGTTCAGGAAATCTAAGAGTGACAGCGCAGAGGGTTTGTCCATCTTTGCATCTACCTCAGGCAGGCTTTGAGAACCGGCCCATGTCCCCAAATGTCAAGGCGCATATCATTTTTTCAGACATGAAGTTAAAGATTTTTCTTCTAGGATCCTGAGGCAGACATTCAGAGATGATGCAAGTTTTGTCATAATGGATAGATTCAGCAGTTCCCCAGACTGTGGTTTAATTTAATTCACTAGCAGGAACTTTTTAGCTGAAAACTCTTTTTTCAAGGTTTCATCAGACTCTATAAACAGACACGTGTAAACACTTCCTGTCCCAGAAATCTACAATGAAAGTTGTCGATGAGAAAGTGACAACAAGCAAACTTATTCACTGAAGTAGTCTCAGCTCCAGGTCCATCTCCGGCTCTAAGCAAGTACCCTCATGAACATGGAGGCTTGATTTCACGGGGATAACAAAACTGGTGGAAGATTTGGGGCCTCGCAGACATTCGACTCGTCCCAAACACAAAGCAGGCCCACAGGTCTCAACCAACCATGGCTACACTAACGCATGCAAACACACATCTATCCACTCATTCCTATCTGGCACGAGTTGGAAGTACAAGTTATGCTGGGCAGTTTTCACTGTGGCCTTTGGGATGTGTGATCACAACACGGGGAGAGATGAGGCCGGATGGAGACAAGGAAAGGAGAAAAGAAAAGAAAGTGAAGAAAGACAGGAGCAAACAAACAAAACAAACTTGGTAAAGCCCTCTGCTGGGCTGGGGCCGGGACTGGAGTGTGTGTGTGAGTGTATGTGAGGCGATGTGAACAGAGTGGCGGGGATTAGGACAGATCCTGGGCTGTCCAACTCACAGCTGGCTGATGATCCAATCCTGGAGCACAGCGCAGCGCACCAGCCGCCATGGGACCCCCGGATGCGTGCCTGCATCTGTGTGTGTGAGTGCGTGTGTTTGTGTTGAGGCATGTGGGTTCGACTGATGTGCATATCAGTATGCACATTTGCAAAGATGCAGTTGTACAAACAAATACGTGCACGTGCATGTGTTGCATGTGTGTGTGTGTGTGTGTGTTTGTGTACTATATGGATGTGTTTGTCAGAAAGGAAGGGCTATCAGGAATCAAACAGAAGCTGTCTGTGCTTCATGTCCCTGTTTGAAGGTGAGCTGTGATCATTTGGGCCATGAGGAGGACAGAATGAAAGATTCTAGCGGGCAAGTTGCAAAGAGAGAATCAAAGAGCTGCCTTCGAAGGCTGGTCATACAAATGCCTTCCAGCCTCGCCACTGTGAATCTCACACTCTCCTCTTACTCTCCCCTAACAACACACACAAACATAGTGACACAAACCAGCCCCGCTAAAGCTACAAAGAGTCATGCATGGCTCTGTAGTGAACAACAAGAGAGGGCATGACTATGAATGAACGACATGTAGCTCTGCATAACCCCCCAAGGCCCACAGATGGACAGAAAGAGAAAGAAAGAGACAGAGGTAGAGAAAGAGACATTCGCTTGAGGTTTATTTGTTTAGTTTTGGAACAGCAAGAAAAAAAAAGCAATAGAGAACATGACAAGTGAGGTAATAAAAGGGGAAAACACAAAAAAGGTGAAAAAGCACAATGCTGGAATGAGGAGGGACAAACACTGTGACCAAATTTTAACAGGTGTACGTGGCCTGTGTGTGCGTACATGTCTTTTTATCTTTGTATGGACACATCGGGTTAGATTAGGTTTAGGTTTGGGTAAGAGTTTGGGTTAAGTATTTAGATGTGATGGTTAAGGTTAGAATAAGAGGTGAAGGAAGGCGTCAAGGACTCTCTACACAAAAAATAAGGAAGACATGCATACGTGTGTTTATATTCCTCTTCCTATTTATTTCCTTTTTTTGTCTAGTTTTAGCCTGTTTGATGTTTGATGTTTTGTTTCATCTGCACATTTCAAAAACACAACAACCTTTAAAAGCTGCTGTACTGCATTTACAGACACTAAGACCTCATGGGCTCCTGAGAAAACACCAATTTTGGGGAAATGAGCCTGCTGGACCACGTAATTGTTAGAACTAAGAATAGAAAGCAAAGTCCTCTGTGTCCTCATTAGACATTTTTGCTTCAAAGATCCTGTAAAGGCATTCAAGACTATAAGTGACAAATATAAAGATAAGCATAGTAGAAACAGTGGAACAGCAATAGCTTGCAGCTGCTGTAAAGTTTCTGTCTGGTGGTCGAACACATCTGAACCCCCCCCCCCAGTCCACACCTTTTTGTCTAAATGGGAAAGTGTGTTTAACAATGTCTGTGACTTTTTGAAGTTGATAATTGTGGTGTGCAGAGGTGAGAAACAAAGCAGGGTTTGAACTTCACTCTAAACCTCACTGTGTGTAAAATTTGTTTGTGTCATTTTAGAACTTGAGTTTAAGACACTGTCTGACGTTCACTGATAATATTCCCTCTTTCTACCCGAATCCAAACCTTAACCCTTGAACTTCACCCTTTAACTGACCTCCTAACCAACCAAGCTTCAAGCAAAACAATCTCGTTAAAACACTTGGGATCTCTCACACAAACTCAGGTCTTCATACGTTTTAATTTGATAACCATGAGGATGGACAGGGTTTATGATGGTTATACTTGTGTTCTCTATTTTCTGTAAATTACGTTCTGACAATCCTGCTTTTCAAGCTCTGGCGCTACATGTGACTTTAAATAAGATTTCGCACCGCTGCATAGAAACATGTAGGACTTCTTGTCATGTAGCACTGAAGAAAAAGAAATATCCCTATTAAATTAGTATCAGAAGTGGCTTTCACTGCTAATGGCCAAAATTGAATTTGAATGGCTACATGCTCAGCCAAGTCAACAGCTGTCAAACATCTAGTATGCATCTGAGGATAGATAAAACTATAAACTCTCTCATGCACATACAGCCACACACATGGCAGTAAAACGGTTTAGTCCGGTGGCTCCTCTAGCACAGGTCAAAGTCATCATGTTGCCACATTAATATGCATGTCATTCTCCACAGCTGGCTGCAAAATACACACACACAGACACACACTTCTTGCCTCATCCTTTAAACACACACACGACAGCCCGCCACGCAGCCAGTGTGTAAGCGCTGGCCAGCTGACAGACAAACACACTTAAACACAGATCAGAGCCAGAAGCAGCAGTGGACAGACACACACACACACACACACACACACACATACCGCCAGGCTGACAGACACATAAACACGCGCATACACACAAAGATTACACAAACTTGCATCCCGCAGTCTCCAGCACCGCAGGGCATCGCCGCCACATCTGTGCCCATCTCAGACACCTCGGCTGTGGGCAGCGGGGGTGAGAGAGTGCCCTGAGCGGCTGGCATGGGCTGGCATGGCCTTGGCAGTGAATGGTGTGGAAGGGAACAGCAGCCAGCGGATGACAGGAGGGACAGAGAGAAGGAAAGGAGAAGGCAAGAATTTAGGAAGAAAAGAAAGAAAAAAAGAACACTATTAAAGAGAAGACGGTAAAGGAGAAGATGACAGCGGTAAAATAATCTAAGTTGTGTAAGGTACGGAGGGTGGTGAAGGACAGCTAAGGACACAAGGATGAAAGATGGTGGTGGAAAAGACAGATGAATCTATGGATAGATGAGTGAAAGAACAACAGAGGAAGCAATATGGGGAGGCAGGAAAAAAAAGGATAGAAAGATGCAGAAATAGACAGAAAGACAGAAGATGGAGGGGAGCCGGTAGCGCCCGTTGTGAGAACGGGTGCAGGGCACTGGCAGGTGGCACCGAGGCCAGGCTGTCCAGTGACCATCAGCCGCGCTGTTGTGTATGTGTGTGTCTATGTGTGTGTGTGCGCGCCAGGGACAGAAGAAAGGCTCAGGCGCCATTTTGGCTCTGCTGGAGCTGTTGCTGGGCTGGGCACTGGCCTGGTGGCACAGAGTGGGCAGTGTGTTTGCGCGCGCGTGTGTGTGTTGCATTATGTTGTGGCATGCTTAACAGGATTAGAGGTGACCTAGTGAGGTCCAGTTGGTACCGGGACCATGGCACAGCGGCGCGCATGTGTGTTTATGTGTGTGTGGTTTGTATAATAGGATTAGCTGTTACCTGGTGCGGTACAGTTGGTGTGCTGGTCTGAACTGGACTGGACTGGGCTGAGCTGGGCAGGAGCTGGGCAGAGGGGAGCGCTGTGTGTATGTGAGTGTGTGTGTGTGAGTGTGGTGGCATGTATAATAGGATTAGGTACTACCTGGTGAGGTGCAGTTGGCGCTGGGCATTTGCCAGCTGTTCTGCTAGGCTCAGGGCTTCGGCCTGCCATTGGCTCCCATCCTTTTGGACCGCCTCCAGATGCTGCCGACAGCCAACCAGCTCTGAGCTCAGCCTTTCCACTTCCTGTCCCGCAGAGATGGAAGAAGAGAGGGTGGAGGAGATGAGGGAATCTTTCACAACAACCCACCTTATGCCCTTACATAAACATAATATTAATGCCTGGTCACGGCATCATGTGAAATGAGTTCAAGTTTTGTCACCTTAAATTTAAAATAACAGGATTCCAGTTGGTGAAACAATATTTAGCAATATCGGGGAAAGTTCTGTTTTCTATAAGGTATTCTACTTGACATGTTGTGTATCATTTAAAAGTGTGACAAGGACTTTTCTCGCACTAAATGTTTAATAATCACTTCACCAATACAGTGTGGATAACTGTACAAATGACTTTAAGTAAATCTGAACATTTAAAACTAAATATTTGAGTTGTTTGGTTTTGCTTGCTATGTCTCAGTGCTGCGTCATTACAAAACGGGGACGTCTGAATAAAGCACTGGCTGACTTAAAAACAAATCAAATTAATCAAATAAATCCAATCAGTGGGTTGAAGGCAGACATACCTGTGCAGCCTTTTCCATCTGTCTGCTAGTCTTGGCTTTGAGCTCTCTGAGATCTCTCTCTGCCTCCTCTTTCTTCAGTTTGGCCTGGCTGAGCTGATATCGCAGATCCACACATACCTAGAAAAGACAAGAAACAACTAAGAACAACAAGTCCATAAAGATTACTTCATAGCTATGGCTTTATCATTTTGTGATTTATTGACTTTCTTATTATCTTAGCAAATCCTTACTTTGACAATCTGAATCATCAGGCCCTGACAGCTACTGAGTCTTTTTTCCAGGTAAAAGCACACTGATGTAACTGGAGTTTGTGTTAATACTGATCTGATCAGAGTTTCACGTGTCCCTCCTCCTGAAAGCAACAACTAATTTAACAATAAAAAACTGAAACCTGAACTGACCATCTTTAGATGAAGCTCAGCTATGTACCTTACCTTAAACCCACTTAAGCACTCATGCTGAATCTACCCGTCCAAAAACTGAAAAGAAAAGCTGGAATAGACAATCTTATGCTGCCATCCAGTGGACAGACCAAAGCATTACATGCAGACTGCACCCTAGAATCAGGATTTCTTTAAAAGATAGAGCTATCTTCTATCAGGTCTCACAGCAAAAGTACATATCTTTCATTATATTATTGTAACTGTATTCTCTCAATGCTCAAACAACCTTGCTGCTTGTCCTGTATCATGCTGATTCAAAGTGCTCAGTGCAACATTAGCATCAGTGATAAGCGATAGCACCTGCTGACTCAAAATTGTCTTCCACAAAGTACACATTGTACCTGTGTGTTGTCTTGCTCCTGACTGGTTAGTTTGTGGAGAGTGTCTTCCAGCTGATTGGTCAGTGAACTCTTGTCTCTGTGAGCTCTGTCGAGCTGTCCTTCCAACTCAGCTACACGCTGGGAGAGGCTAGACACCTGACAGACACACACACAAACACACACACAAGCACCTTTTCAATGGCCATCTCTCTGCAACTTCATTCAGAATTTAAGAAGAACATCCTGACAAACACAAAAACAGTATTCAGGCTTTACTTGAAGGGATTTTACTTAAAGGATGAGGATATCAACCAAAAAACACCAGTATACATGACGCCTATACAGTTGAGTGCAACAAATGTTAATATCAGATTATTAATCCAAACAAATTTAACTATTTATTAGTTTAGAATGTGGGATGATTGGAGCAACGTACATAAACTGTCTTTCCATTTCTGAGTTCTCTGAACATCCAAAAAGTGAACAAGGAACATTTACTGTATGTGCCAGCTCCTCTTTTTGTTTACGAGACCCAGCCCGGCCCTCCTCTCGGGCTTCAGCCAGCCTCTCCTGCATAGCGTGAGCTTCTCGGTCGAGCTGTTCCCTCTGCCGAGCCAGCTCCCTGGATAACTGCTCACACTGCACTTCCGCCTGCATACACAGAAACGGACATACCAGGGTCACTAGAAATAACCAGCTGTCATAGGTAGAGGAAACAATTTAATAAGAAAACTCTTTTATCCGAGTGAATTATCTGCATAAGTCATAAAAGCTTTGAGTCTACACAGCTACAGGATTGCGTGTAAAGGTTTCTCTGACCCTTGCTTTGTGCAGATTTGCCTCTTCTGCCATCTCCACAGCCTGTTTGACCTGGAGACAGGCTGACCACTCCCTCTGTTGTGCCTCTTGCTGACTCGTCCTCACAGCACGCAGAGCCACCAGTAACTCATCACGCTCTCTGAAGGATTGGCAGACAAGAAAATGAATGATCAGTGTTAAAAAAAAAAAAAAAAGAATGTCTGTTTTTTTGCTACGCACATGGAATACCTAATTAAAACTATTCATCAGAGAAAAATGAGCAATCAGAAGATCTCTGACAGAAACATAATTGAGACATATGCAAAATAATATACACAATACAATTAGGTAATTAGACTGAGGCCTGTTGTATAAAGAGCTGACATTCTGCTGCTAACTTGTGCCTGGTTTCAACCAAGTATTTGTGTTTGTGTGTGTTACCACTGACTTTGTGAGCCTGTCAATAGCCTGGACATGCAGATTTGTGTGAGTCCCAGCCAGCACAGCTTCATGCTGCGCACACTTCATACACAATCCAGCCACACGGGGACCTCCATCAGCCCTCAGTGCATCTGCAGCCTGTTTCTCTCTGTGTCTCAGACGGACCTTCACCTCCTCACACTCCTTCTGACTGACTGACAGATTCTTCCTTATAACAGAAGTGAAATGTATGATTAGGAGAGAAAAAAAAGAGGGAAAATGGGCAGAAAAGGAGATGAATATTGCTTATTTAATGTCATCGTCACTGGATAGATTATTACACTGACCTGAGGGAGATCACCTGAGCCTCCAAGCTTTCAATCTGGGCCTGGTAGATCACTTTCAATTGCTCCTGATGAATACAAGCATTTAAATGTAACTTTGAAGCACAAAAAATAGTAGATAATACGAAACACCATGGGATACAATTATGGTTTTGCCACAATTTTCTAGAGCAAATGTACTTAAAATATGCATTCTTGCTTCCACCTTTAAATTCTAGTGAGGAAATTATCAAGAATCAACAAGAAAGGAAGAAAAGCAAGTTATGAATACTATCTGGAACCATATATGTTAATTGAAAATAATACATTTGTGAAATTATATGATATTCTTAAGCACAACCCAAAAATCTGATGAGCGCTGAGAATGTTGAGAACTATCAGAGACAGAAATAAACAGTAAGTGAAAGAGTAAGGAACAGATCCACCACACCTACCAGCTCATTTTTCCATGTGTTGTGCTCTGCTCTCTGCAGCACACTGTGGTCTGTGTTGGAGGCTAGGTGGCTGTTGACCACACTCTCATTTACCTGAGGAGAACATCATGACAGGTCATAAACCACTTAGCCACTAGGATCATTAAATTGAAATATGGCAGTGTTATGCCCCGCTTAGGGTCAATTATTACATGTAATTCCTATGTGCTTTTTGTATTTCTCTCATCATTAACATAGCGTTTTGGGTAGAACAACTACAAAGCTTACTTTTCCTGGAGATAGCTCTAATGTCTAAATTTTTACTGAACTTATGCACAGCAACGTAAAGGAGAGCGATAACATCAGTGACCAAGATATCCTGGTGGTGCACTTTGTCTGTAACTATGTTTAGGTGGGTGAGACGCTGATCAGTGTATGTGCACAAACATACAAGAATGCACATACATTACACAAAAATCACATCAATGATCACAAACAGACCACTACCGTAGAGTTTCGGATTGTGTAATCTCTCAGAGATTCATCCACAGCTTTGAATTTGAGCTCTGAATGCAGCTTCTCATTTTCCACCACCACCACTCTGATCCGCTGTTTCATCCCCTGCAGCTCTTCCTGAAGTCGCACAAAAAGAGAAATAAATCAGAAGTCATCAAAATGCAGACACTACGGAAAAGGACACTGTACGTCTGTGCACAGACCTTGCAGAATTTGACCTCAGCTTCCAGGTGCTGGATGTACTCTGACTGGTTGTGAATCATTGGGACCAAATCCTGAAAGGCCGGCAAACTGGACCTTCCCTCCTGCTGTACTTTCTATCATGAAAAAAAAACATCTTTATTACATTTAATTGTGGAGAACATATGTCAGCTTCACAGATAATTCTGCAACAGGGTTTCCTCTGGTCTAATGCATTTAAATGTTAAACAGCACAGAGCTGCACATTCTACCTTGGATGGTTTCTCTGAAGGAGTGAGAGGAGGAGGGATTTCTCTGCACTGCTTCAGTAGAAGACTCTTCAGCTGATTAACTACAATGCCAAAGAAAGCACACACACAGAAAAGCATTTTATTATGACTTTGTGTACTGTCTGGCAACATGAGCAGGTAAATCTCCAGGGGGTGCGCTATAAAAGCTGTCCGACAGCCATGTCACAGCTAATCACCTGCTTCGCTCTGCGTCTTGTGGCTCCATGCAGCCCTGTCCTCTTCAGACACGGTCGTGAAGAAGTTGCCATCACCTCCTCTGACCCCCTCCACCTCCGCTCCATCAGGGCTCAGCTGCTCCAGAGCACTGCTCAGCTGCTGGAAGCTCTGGTTGGCTCGTTCTGAAATCAATATGCACATACAGACGTCAGGCTCATACAGTATATTATTTCTGTGTCCCATGGCAGTTCAGCTGGTGGCTGTGCAAAACTCATTTTAACTTATATATTAAAGAGGACTACTGAGGTGGTGCAGGGCCAAAACACTTGCACTTCCATCATCCAAGCAGGAGAGATAAATTAGTGAAATCACTGGGATGTAATTACTTTCCTATAAACGATCAATAAAGCACCAAGTTTTAAAACCAAAATAAATCTTATAGCAATTATTTAGGTTATTGATTAATCATTTTGAGTTATTTTTTTAAAGAAAGAATGTCAAAGTATTGTGGGTTCTAAGCCTTGAATGTGTATAATTTCTGGTTTCATTAATTATCTTTAGGTTTTTGCTTTTTAATGCCAGATATTGGAAGATAGAACCTTTGGATTTGGGAGTTTGTCTTAACCTTGTTTCACAATTCTCTGATATTTTATAGACAAAGACCAAATCAGTTGAGAAAATAGCCTACACATTAACTGACAGTGAAAATAACTGTTAGTTGCAGCCCTGCTTTAATTATTCTAACACTGCCGAATGAGCTACGAATTCACATTACCAACACAGGCAATCTAAGAGTTTTTCCACCACCTTCGTTTAAGGAAGACCCAGGTTTGTCCCTGTGACAACACAAACTGGCCTTTTTCACAGCAGATATTTTGACAGTAGAAAAATCACAGGGTAATTCATAGCAGGGCTGAATGATTTGGAGAAATTACCTAACTGGGATTTTTCTGACAAATAAAACGATGATTTGGAATATCATTTTTTTAAAAGTCAGTTCCATATTCAGCGTGTAACCGATTCAGAACCTGTGATGGATCATTCATTACCACATGAGACAATATCATGGACCATTATATATTTATGAGCTAAACAACAGTGTGCATGAATGAACCTTGTAGTATATATTGATCAGTAGGCAAGCGTTTACAACCACTTAAAGTTTCAATCTGCTTGCATTAAATTAACATGAAATACAGTATTAAACTCATATCCAAAACTGCAGCCAAAGTGCGATTTAGACTGGAAACTGATTAATTGTTCAGCCCTAATTATTAGAATGGGGTAAATTGTGTCACACTGCCATAGATTACTGGCACTCTCTATCCTTGTATTGTTATGAAAAGCTAAAACATATGCTGAGAAAATGTCCTTTCATTGTTAGCTTTAGTGAAGCAGTTTTGTTCCAAGTACAGTCTGGTTATCTTAATGCACAGAAAACAAAGACTCAGATTTACTTCCAACTTGCAGCGTCCTTGCAAGTATTTAGGATTTCTGTCCATAATCCAGACATAATGCTTACTATCTGACATTGGTTCTGTCTTCTTTCTTTTAAATGTAGCCTCAGTAAATATCAAACAAGATGCTTTTGGGACTGGAAACCAAACAGCAACAGGTGGCAGTGATGCCCCCTTTACCTCCCCTGTCCTCCTAACAACAGCAGTGTCAGTGACTTAACTCTTAAACTACGGCTCTAATAGTATTCTGCGAGCAATAGTTTCTAAAACAGATAGCTGTAATTCATTAAGATCAACGTTATTGTGGGATAAATACCAATTCAACGCATCTCTCTTTAACTGCTCATTAACGCCGGTTAGCAAATGCTGCCTGCTAAATGCTAAACTTACGCCGCAGCTCCTTGTGCTTCGCCTCCAGCTGCTCCGCCTCCTCTTCGTCCGAGTCCAACGGTTTCATTGATGGAAAACCTTCGTTAAATCACATTATGTTACTGATCAAACATGCTAAGCTACGCACAACAACCACAACAGCAGCCATCATATCCAGCACGTCGTAACGGTCACCAATACTTAAGGAGGTTGTGTTTGTTTTAAATCATAGCGTTTCCCGAAGGCGGTGCTTTAGTTTTCTATAATATAATTACCAACACCGCCCGTCCTCGGATTCTAGTCAGCGTACTCTGGACTTCAAAACGAGGCAACTATGTGGCAACGGCTCCCACTTCCGTAAACTAAGGCAGATTGCTGGGAGTTGTAGTCTGTGTTTGTAGTTTCAGCTGCAGTTTTTTTGTTAATCGGCTGTGAGATCAATTTAACGCAGTGAACGTAACAACTGAATTTAAAGTAATGATGCAGTATTATTTTTAGAATTAGGCTAAGAGTAGAAATCCCTCAAAAATTGTTGAAAAAGAATTATTAAATTGCTTACAATCCATTATAACAAATTTATTTGTAGATATAGACATTTTAAGTTTTAACTATTGAATACACAACTTCTTTTACATATTTTCTATTATCAAAAATAGGTTAAAAAATACTTTAAACAAACTCAGTTGCATTTATAAAATATAAATAAGCAATAAATAGTTTGTGACACATTATAATTTAATGTTACGAAGAGAGGAAAAAAAGGACATTTCTTTATGTCTGTTTATCTTTGCCAACTATTATAAGTACTATTGTAAGGCATTTTTATTTATTTAAACAGATATGACTGCCACTGGGGGCCGACTGTAATGTGGTTGTAATTATACAAAATGTGTTTGTAAATACATAACAATATACATTAATTGCAGTACATATTACAAGCATTTTTATTGTTTTTTTTAATAAAGGTTGCATATATTTGTAAACACTGCTACAATCACCATTTATAAGCCTTCATAAACACTTTATTAACATGTAATAAATGGCTTATAACACACTATGGCATTCTTTTTGCAAATGTAAGAACCCTTTTAGGTTTACTTTATGCATAGAATTTGTAAATAATTGCACCTTCTTCTATGATGATGTGTTTTATAAAAGGTTTTTTAATTTGCTCTAGGTAATTATTTGTTTTTAGAGCAGTCACCACTTATAGATGCTCACAGGTGTGATTATAATCTAAATATTCACCAATTAATTCATTTTTAAAAAAAGTTATATGAGGGATCAAATTCATATATCTCTATTTAAGTCATAGCTTTGATAATTCAAGATGATTTCATACTTCATTTAGGCTGTGTTCATTTAAGTTTTGGTGTGGCTGCTTTGTGTAAAGACAAATTTAAGCACTGATCCATTGAAAACCTTTTTGTGTTGTTTTGTTTAATGTTGTTAAATATAAAAATGGGACCGATAGAAAAGTATTCCTCATGCAAGGTGTTATAAAAAAATAGAATCAAAAATGTTTTCATATCTTAAGATCATGTTTTTCTGCCCTCTTGTGGTCAAACAAATCCCTGAGTGCAGTTCAAACATTTCAACAAGAATGACTACATGTTAATAATTGATATTTTTGCAGAGTCTTTGGGTAATTTAAGACATCCCCTTTGTTATTCAGAGATAAAACTTGGAGGAGAGCATGATGCAGAATATGAGTTTAATGCACGACACCTCGACAACGAGAGCAAAGAGTCGTGAAGGTGCAGCGTTAATGATCACCTGCTGCCATGGTTAACGTTGGCTGGTGGAGATGTACCACCACAAGTCACTTTCACTTCTGTTATCATCTTATCTTGCAGTCCGGTGAGTCATCATCGAGCACTCCTACATGTACACACATTCTTGCACACAAGATCGGATTGCTGATACTAAATGAACAACCAGCCAATTGCTGCTCGGATTTCTCAGAATTGCAGTCATATCATTAACAGGCCATTTGGTTATGTAACTGTGGACATTTCACATGAGAACATGGTTAACAGTCATTCTCTACTCACCCTGTTTAACATGAATAAACAGTATATGAAAAATTAAAGGTTTTAAAAGTGCTTTAATTTACATGTAAATCAATATTAGGACATATAACTCCTCTTGTGATGCATTTCCAGTTGTTTAAACAGATCATGTATGAGTTCCACTAGCGCAGCATGTATGTTTATGGAAATGAAGCCTTTTCCTATTATATTCATGAATTTATTACAAAATATGTATCTATTTAATTGTTTGTTTGTTTTCTTTTTTAATGAATAAATACCCTTACTAAACCTACTTTATTCTCTGTGACAGCTGAGGAAATTCCAGTCACTAATTAAGACCATGAGATGTGGCTAAAAGTCCCAGAACGAATTAAAAAATCAGCCTTCAATCTCTGCAGATCTAAGGAGAACAAAAAAACATTTATATCCAGTTATAAACAACTCCTTGTTCTATTATTGTAATGATTCATCCATGTAATAATACATTATAAAACATAACTACAGCTGTGTTACATCGTGTTGTCATTCATTCACTCATCATTCACTTTTAAAGATCGCTTATCACTGAGAAATACATGAACAAACACTTACAATGCCTTCATATCTATGAGTGAGTATTTTGCTTAAATAACATGTCGTCTTTCAGACAAATGCAAATGGTGTTTATTTTATGACACTTTCTCTATTTGCATTTATGGATTTCAGCTATAATACATATTTTTAAAGGCTATTTTATCAAAACTATTATTTATTTTCACAATCTGAGCCAGAAATCAACAATTCAGAAGCACCAAACTTTACAGTTTTATTCATACATCCAGATATTTTATCTGCATTGTGAAAGTTTTCACAGAGAAGTTGGTTGATATGTCAATCACAGCCTGATTTATCCATCCATCCATCCATCCATCCATCCATCCATCCATTATCTATACACCGCTTAATCCTCACTAGGGTCATGGGGGGCTGGAGTCTATCCCAGCTGACTCAGGGTGAAGGCAGGTTCACCTGGACAGGTCACCAGTCTATCACAGGGCTACACTTAGAGACAGACAACCAAGCACACTCACATTCACACCTACGGACAATTTAGAATCACCGATTAACCTCAGCATGTTTTTGGACTGTGTGGGAGGAAGCCGGAGAACCCGGAGAGAACCCACGCTGCACGGGGAGAACATGCAAACTCCACACAGAAAGATCCTGGGTGTCGGGCGCCCCCATAGCTCACCTGGTTGAGCGGGCGACCCATGAACAGGGGCTGTAGTTCCCCGACGCAGCAGTCGTGAGTTGGACTCCTGCTCACAACAGTTTGCTGCAGGTCTCTCCCCATTCTTCTCCCCCCTTTCCTGTCTCACTCTCTCACTCTCCTAACTAGAAGGCAAAAAAAAAAAATGAATGAAATAAATAATTAAAAAATAAAAAAAGATCCCAGGTGCCCTCACTGGGATAAGAACCAGTGACCTTCTAGCTGTGAGGCAACGGTGTCTAACCACCGAGCCACCTTGCCGCCCCAGCCTGATTTATATAACATTTTATTTTTAAAACCATGGCAAAAATAGATTTTTTTTCTGGTAGTTGACAGCATTTACTAGTTTATGGAGTGACAAAACAGATATAAAACAAATTGTATTAATACGTCACCAAAATGTAACATAATTCTGAACGTGACTTTATCCAATTTTGGAATTTCTCTTCTGGAAATTAATGCAAAATTTCTACACATATAGTAAGTTATTTGCATATTTAAGCATAACATTTTAGACAATCTGTAGTGCAAAAAAAATCATTGTCTCCGTGTGAGTAGGTCGGTGGGGAAGTTTCATGGTGATATGTTTAGTGTTTCCTCTCAGTAGTGCATGAACTATACATTAGCGGTTTAGGGTCAACACCTTAAGAGCACATTGTGTTTCAGGTGGGGACCCTCTGAAACCTAAATGTGGAGGCTGCTTCACGTTTAAGGCAAGAATGACACCGACTCGGGGGAGTTTCAAACCGCTCAAATGATTTTTAGCCGGCGTGTGTTTATGTGATAGCGTTCAGTGGAAGGGTGTATGTCATGTTTGCTGCTGCTTACAAAAGGGTCAGACAAAGGTAACCATGGATACACCCTCTTCCTATTGCACAATAACAGATAACTTCCTGTCGAATGAGCCTCGGCTGTACTTTTGATTTTTGCGACATTTCAGTTTTCTGAAGAAGAGGCAGTGAGTCAGAGCATGAAGAATCCATTCATGAGCAGACACTGTGCTGAGATCTAAGACTTGACATTTTCATTCATGGTTTATTGTGAACGGCTGAAACACAGAGTTTGTGTCGTATGGATTTAAAGACAGCTGAGCAAACTGGGGGGAATCTGATTTCATGGACTTTAAGATGAACACATTTATAACAATGATTGAGGCTCAGTTATACCAACCGAGCAGCGCTGGAAGGGCCACAGACTTTTAGGGGCCCTAAAGCTCCATGAACACTGCATGTCAGAGCCTGTAGGTAGTTTGATGAACTGTAGTTTGTACGATTGCCATACCACGTTCAGTACCATTTTTAACTGCCTTTTTTCCGTTTTATGTTACTTTGCATTTCCATTTCATTTCAGAATGTAGAAAGCTGCTCTCAGGAATGGAAAAAATGCCAAGGGAAGTGGGGGGAAACTATTTAAAACAATCATAATACAAAAAAATAAAACAAAAGGAAACTGAAAAAAATCCTAATTGAAAAATTATGTCTTGTAGGAGAGTTGTGGTTGACTTTCTGAACTCTGAGCAGTTTTTTTTTTTACTCGTGTCACAGTTTTACTCACTGACGGCTCATTTTTTTTACTTCCATATAAAGTCCTGCACCTCTGTGGAAATAATACAATCATGGATAGAAGTAGAGAAAACTCAGAAATGTCTGTTGTGCAGTTTGACATGGTTATAATGCCATAACTTATCCATCCATTATCTATACACTGCTTAATCCTCACTAGGGTCATGGGGGACTGGAGTCTATCCCAGCTGACTCAGGGTGAAGGCAGGGGACACCCTGGACAGGTCACCAGTCTATCACAGGGCTACACTTAGAGACAGACAACCAAGCACACTCACATTCACACCTGCGGACAATTTAGAATCACCGATTAACCTCAGCATGTTTTTGGA